AAAAACAAGTACCCCTAGAATACTTCCTGTTGAACTCCCAATTAAGCAATTTAAATTTCATAACTACAAAACTATTAATATAGGTAAAGGTACACTTGGAAAATGGGAGAAAATACATGCAAGATTTAAACTTAGTCAAAATGACCATTTACATGCTCATCTCTGTTTACGCTTGGTGGCAAAAGTGCCTTACAAACCGGACACTGGGGCACTTCAGCTTCAGGTGCTGGGGCACTTGGTTGTAGGGTCTGCACTGGGGGAAAAGGCGGCTGAATAGGGACCTCAGGTGGCGGAACTTGTTCATGTTGCTGCTCTGGTTGGTGTTGGACAAAAACCCATGGCTGTGGGCCATTTGGAACTGGCATAGGTGCAGGTGCAGGTGCAGGTGCAGGTGCAGGTGCAGGTGCAGGAGAGAGACGATTAAAAAATGGACGCAAGCCACGAACTGGAAAGAGACCTGAAACATATGACAAAATATCGTTAAATATCATGTGACAAAGTATCATTGAACGTAAACTTAAACTAAGCTGGAGCTGTAGAGGGTAGCATAAAAACATTGTCATACAGAGGCATAGAAACACCGAGAAAGCCGACGTTTATCAAAAAATAATTTACTATTTTACGATCAAAACCAGGTCACAGAGGGCATGCAAAGTAAGTGAGAAGTAAGGAAATCTGATCTGGTCCTTCTGCTGACTGCTCAAGGCTGGTTTTCACTAACCCATGAGAATAAATACAAGCAACGTATGTAGATGCAGTAAAGTTCCACTTAGCATCTAACTGTACCAGCATAGAGCGGTTTTCAACCAAGTGTCGAAAGTAATCAGGCAATTATTTTGGTTTTGGTATTACTACAGTTTGAGATTGACTGAGTAGTCTAGTTGATAAGTAATTGACTTTGTTTTGGTTTTACAACACTCAATTGAAAACTGCTCTATGTTGCTTTTATATGCTTATTAAAAACAGCCTTCAAGGACCTTGTTATTCTGTTCTTCACAGAAATGGCTTTCTTCTCTGACTTGATATGTGCACTACTCAACCATGCCCCTGTGTCATGGTCTAATCATACTACCATGTGATATTACTACTGCTACTAAAAAGAACTTTACCTACTGAGAAAAACAGAACCTTATATACACAAGAGTTGTTTAAATCACAAACATGCCCTCTCTCACTTCCTTATGGGTTCCTACCATTTGTCGAGTGCTTTTCAACCAAGCCAAGAAACAAAAAACACAGCATCAGCATCAATCTCAGTCAACAAGTTTTTTTGTATTTCTGACAAAAAAAGGCTACTAAAAATACCCAATATGTAGAAAGAACTCAAATAAAAATGTGAAGGTTTCAGAAAAAAGAAAAGATTGGGCATTCTTTTTAATCCAACAGGTTGCACAATTCAATTCGCCTTAACTGCCCATGGAGCAGTAAAGCGCTAATGAATTAAATTTTGAACAGTACCTTGAGTAGGAGTTTGTTCCTGTGGTCGAGGCGGTGGCTCCACAGTGACTTCTCGTTCTTCAGTTCTATTCTCCATCAGTCTAGATTCTGCTTCTACATGCAAATCAACTTCTTTCTTCCATCTCTCGACTTCTCTGTTTAGCTCCTTGACCTTCAGATCAAGCTCCCGCTCTTTAGCTTCATGCTCCTGAAGTTTTGCTCTTGCCTCCTCACCGAGTAACTCTCTGTCTTCTTGTTCTTTGGAAAGAGCGTCTTGCAGGGCTGCAAGGTTTTCGGCAGCATTTTGTAACTTTTCTTCTTTGTTTTTCAAAACGACTTGTAGATTGACTATTTCTTGGATGACAGTCTCTTTTTCGAGTTTCTCATCTTTTAAGGTGCTCTCCAAATATGCCACTTTTTCAAGCATTTTTTGAACAACCAGTTGGCTTTGTGCATCCTGGTCTGCCTTCTGAAATTCCACCTGTTCAGAGCTTACCACCTTCTCTCTCAATTCCAAAATCTCCAGTTTGAGCTGGTTGAAAGAAAAATCACATTACATACAAATAAAATGTATGGCATTCTTAGCTCTTTTAGCTGAAAGTGCTAATTTGCCTTATTATTAAAAGTACCATGTTTCCTTCACCATTAATGTATTGTATTTGCCTAGTCCCCAAGGTGGACTTGTGAATAAGCACCTCACACACTTATTTGAGACACAAAAAGCTCTCCGTATAAGAGCAAGATACATTTCTGTCAAGACCAGTGAATCAAAACACTATCTCAATTATTAACCATTAACAAACTGCAAGAAGTGAATGAATGCCAGGTTCACCAGGCTAAGTTTGAAATGCATTTTAACACTGGAATCGTTAATCAAGAAAATACAGTACATCATCAATGCACAGCATTCACAGATTAAATTCACTATATCTGCGCCATACTCATTTGAAGTTAATCATTTATGAAAGTGCAATGCCATGAAACAGAAAACAAAAGGATTATCTTTGATAACAACATCGTTTACATCTGGTATTCCATCTACACTATTTTGTACAAAGAACACAAGATTTACTATTGTCCCAAGTTTGAAAGAAACTAGTCTTCACAGCCATAGTTATATGTAAATCTATCTGAGTGAGACAATTTTAACTACAGACTAAAAGAAAATATATGTCAGTGATGGAAATAACAGTCGGTCATCGGACATTGCCCGATCAAATTTTGAATATGTCTGGCCAATTTCACATTATGATTGGACATCATGTCCGAACATTTCGCCAACACATTTTGACTTCTTCCTTTGAAGTTATTGTCCATCCATAAAATTGGGTTAGATACATTATTAAAGGGCTCAAAATTTATGGTAATGGGCAGATTATAAAACACAACATCAGCAAAGATATTTAAGCTAATTTACATCACCTGATTTTGAATTGTCATGCCAATTGACACTATGACATCATCACATGAAATACATGTGCACTGTCATTCTTCACCACTGATATTTCTACATGATAACTGGTATAAAACTGGTGGATACTTGTAGATAACCGGTACATGTGTATGTTTGAAAATCCGTTTGAAATGCACAACAAACTACAAAGTTTTTAACAGATTTCCAAGAATTTTGAAACATGACAAAGGCCTCTGAATTTCTGAGAAACAACAGGAAGTTTGAGGTCAACCATGAACAAAGGGAGGAAACGTTTTCTCTTCCATGGATCCAGTTAATGACAATGCCAAAATGTTTTTAAACTCAGTGGACGATTTTTTTTTGCTGATTCAAGGTCTTTCATTAGAGACATCACTTTCTTATAATGTCCAGAAAATATCCTTACTCCCCCACAGAAGGGATTGGAATTTCCTGGGGGGTGGGGTTTTTTGTAAGACCAAAAAATTTAAAGAAATGTGTGAAGCTTTATTGGAATTTCCAGAAGGTTGGGGGTCTTAGAAAAAAATCCCTTCTGTGGGGGAGGTATGGATATTTTCTGGAACTACACAATAGCAAAGAAAGATATGAAAATCATTCACCAAAGTTGGATTTTCATGTAAGTTAATTCATCATCAATGGTCATTTTTTAAGCCACCTGGTGTATGTAACATTAAGGTACTTGCAACAAACATGTATAACGACTTCCCTTCTTGATCACTTTTTCAATTCTCATCACCAGGAAGCTTGATCGAACACTGATCAGGCATCCCACTGAATGAATATTCACTTTCCAAGAGAAAAAGACAAGATTTAATTAAAGCTTGCGACAAAATACCTGGTTAATCTCATCATTCTTATGGAGTACGATGCTCTTCTCTATGTTCAGAGCTTTCTTCTCTTCTTCCAAAGCCCTCCGTAGCTTGGAAATCTTGTTCCGCATTTCCGTTGCTGAGCCTGCTTCCTCTGACTGTACTGATGAGGTCCTGGTTACTTTATTCAACTGTTCCTCCAGCTGACGACACTCGATAAACTTCATCTTGAAAGCCTCAGCCCCCATGTTAAGCCGCACCCGCAGATCCTCATTGCACGCCCTCATCTCCTCTATTTGAAGGCGCAGGTCATCACATGGGACATTGCCTTGGAAGGTTGCGATGGTTCTCTTCAGCTCATTCCTCTCCCTCCACAATTCATCCATCTCTTTTTTGGCTTTAAGGTATTTCTTTTCCAAGTGAGTATGGGCTGTCTGAAGGGCATACATCGAAGCTGCTGAATTTTTTGATGACTGAGCGCTTGCTCCCCGAGTGTCTGTCAGTGTTGTCTGGAGTGTATCTTTCTCTACCTTTAGTGACTTGACTTCAGCATCAACATCAGTCAGTTGGGCCAAAGCTATCTGCAGCTTTTCTTCAGCAGATTGTAGCTGTTTCTTGCAGTTGTCCAGTTCACCACAGACATCCCTTAATTCTGCACTTTTTCCCTCCAGTTGCTGACTCAGTTCCATGTTTGCCTCCAGCTGCTTTTGCACTTGACCCTGAAGACTGGCTACATTGCGATCAGACTGAGAACACAGCGACTGGTTTAGAGCTTTCTCTCCTTCCAGCTGGTCATGTAGTGCTCTGATAACTGATTCATAATCTTCTTCCAGCGCAGTGATCTTTCCCTTCTCCTGCTCTAGTTGGGAATTAGCATCTTCTAGTTCTTGTTCAAGTTGGTGAATAAGCTCTTGCTTTTCAGTTAAACCTCTTTGGAGTTTCTGGATGTTCTGGCCAAGCAACTCTGCTTCATGAGATGCATCCCTCAAGATTTCCTCTTTTGTACTTTCCACTTCTTCAATTCTGCATCGATAGCTTGCAATTTCTTCTTGGACTTTCTCACGTTCTTGATCTTTGTTCTTCAACTCAATATACATATCTCGAACTTTCTTTGTAAGGCGTTCTGATTCTTCTTCCAAATTTCTTTTGAGCATGTAATTTTCTTCTGTGATCTGCAAAAGCTGTTCCTGTAATCTTCCATTTTCACTGTTTACTTTCTCTATTTTCTCAGCAAATTCGGTGGACTCTGACCTGGCTTTCGTCTTGAATTCCACCCATCGGGCTTTCAGAGTGTTGCTCTCATCTTCTTTGGCTTTAAGGTCGTTTTGCAGCTTTTCAATCATTTGCCGATCAGCAGCCATGTTCTCTAGGTACTGCTTACGTTCAATCACTAACTTTTCCATGTTTTTCTCAACTTGTTGTGATGTCTGTGCACGTTCTTGCTCAAGCATCATCATCAATTCATCAACCCGTCGATTCAAATTCTCTTGCATGGTTTTTAAATCGCTGTTGGCACTCTCGAGATCTCTTTTTTTGCTCTCCAATTCTTCTAAGGCCAGGTTTTTCTGAGCCAATGCTTGCTCCAGATTACATACTTTCTTCTCGGTTTCCTTCAAAGCAGCCGTTAATTCAGCTTTACGCGACTCCGACTCCATTACTTTATCATTGGCATTAGCCAGATCAGCTAGCGCCGTCTCATTGGATGCTTTCAAGACAGCATTCTCTTCCAAAACCCTGGCAAGTGACTCTTCCAACATCGCTGTTTTGTTTTTAACGATCATAATTGAACTTCCTTCGTCATCTTCAATTTCGCAGCACTCTAACTCCTCTTGTTCAATCGGTTTGGTTTTAATCTGGAAAGGTACGCTAGCCCCTCTGACATCGCTTGCGTAGGTGACATAACAAAACTGATAAAACTCGTCGTCAGCCTTCGGTAAATACCTCAGACGAAACACAACCCTATTTGCAATTGATCTTCCGTGTTCGCCATCTTGAATACTTGGCATGGGCGACCATTCGTAAGTGTAATGTTCACGCGACGACTGCCATCCAACTTTGAACAACCCAATCCAATCCCTGGAGTTTGGTTTGACTGAACGTTTGATGGTATAACGACATTCTATATCTCTGTCGGGCGGATAACATTCGGGAACGTTGTTGAAAATGACGGCGGAAAATTCAGACTCCGATGGTAACGACGTGAATTCTGTTGACACGACGCTTGTGTTGTCTTCATCATTGCTTTCACTTTCGCGAGCACTCTCTGCCATGTTTTTACACTGCTTGAGTTATCTTACAACGTAAGATTTTAATAGGGGAGCCCGGAAGATGGTCAGAGTGAAAGTCCCGTGAAATACTCCACGTCTAACGAAGTTGCAATCTAAGCAACTTCCAATTACGTCAATGACGTGTTCGTAAATGCCGACAAGCCGAGCATGACGTGAACTTTTCCGACCTATAAATTTTATGAATAAACCTCTACGGGCAGTGCTGTATTCTTGTTACATTAACATGGAATTCATTTAGAATGCAAGTTACCGAATTGACGAAGCACTGATATTCTAAGATTTATTAGCATTTTTTTCTCCATTTATTTATTTCATTTCATTTGTACGGGAGGCGATGTGGGGGGAGGGGGGGATTGTTGCTGGCTGGGACTAAAAAAGCCGTGATTCTAAAATGAGCGAGTGCGTACATGCGTGGGCATTGTCACATCCCGTTCTAGAAAGCTAGCTGGGACCAAGACAGCAGCATTTACGTAGTCACGTTGCTACAAGGCCTTCTTTGTTTTCGTCAAAGATGCTTCCTTTGCTACAAAGTTTATTAAAGATAAGGATATACCCGAAAAATTCCCGTCTAGTCTTCCAAAATACACTCCAAGAATACCGTTATTATTTTATAACTTACAACAGCATTCCAATCACACTCGACACACCATAACCTCTATTAAACCGCCGTTTTAAATTTGAAAACTGAGGTGAACAAATTTAGTTACTACTGCTGGGTTCAAGACCTTGGAACTTTTCGCTCCATCACATTCCAGGTTAGGTCTTTTTGCTGTTTAGAGGGGTTCGGAAACATGCTCCCTCATGGCCAGAAAATGTTTTGAATTTATCTCCCTAAAGTCCCCTTTCCTGGGCTGCTGAGTCATTCTGAAAGATCTGACCGATTTCCGTAAAGTGATGTAAACCGGCCTGAGACAGAGCCTGGTTTTGCATTGGTTAAGGCAAGGTTAAAGCTATTTGGTATTCGAGCAACCGGAGCTGGCAAGTGGTCTCAATTCAAAAAAGCTGTCCAGAGCCCGACCGCTTCCTTTTATTTCCCTGAGAAGGGGTAATATAATGAAAAAGCTTATAGCCACCTTAAACTTCCAGGAAACAAGCTATCACATAAACTACGAACACTCATACATAGCGACTTGCTTTGTATTTTATGTCTTTTGGGAGTTTGTTAATCTGACACTGTGCATGTAGTACCAGTTTTTGGTCTCATCATTAGATGAATGGCATTTTTATCGCATTTCACGATGCGGGATTTTCATTTACATCCTTACGACTTTTTAGGTACAAATTCTATCTAAATTGGATTCTAACGCTTTTCAATGTGCAACTTTCTCTCAAAGTACGGTACCTTCCCGAACTTTCAACATAGGCCAAATTGTAAGATCGGAGCCTTTTCAGAAAATGTATTTTTAATGCCGAATACTAGTCCAAGGCTTATTTTTGGAAATAATGTTGGCAACACGAGTGAACAACGAGACGAATTTCGTAGCAAGGTAGTTCCTGAACACTCCCCTGCACTCCCAAACACACCCTGGCCAGGTTCGTTGGGCACATGATCAGCTTACTTCTATCCCCCAGAACTACGGGGAGACTCCCTCGGCAATGAAAGCACGGGACTAGACTGTCACCTTTATATTTAGAAGATTGCTCACTAACTTAAGATTTCTCTGTGGCTGACTTGTAATAGTCTCCCACTCGAGTCCCTGACGCGCGCCGAACAATCGTTTGTTTGTCGGACAAATCACAAAGTCCAAAATACACAATTTGAGTCGGTGAGAGGGTTGGGGACTATCGTCTACGGTCGCAGAAGTCTGGGGATCAAATAATCAAGTAAAATGGCGGGTAAAAAGGCCGTGAAGGAGCTGTCGGACATGGAGTTAATGAACGAACTGAAGTCTTTAGGTATAAAAACTGGACCAGTTACTCCGAGTACAAGAAGGGTTGTTGAAAAGAAACTCTTGAAAGCCCGTGGTACTGACCTAATCGACAGCAATTATGAAAGTAAGGACTCGGGAAAAAGCGAAAATGTTTTCGTGGAAGAAAGTACAAAATCTACTAGAGAGAGTACAAGTAGCACTTCGAGTGTATTAGAAAGCCCTGCGATCTTCTATGGAGTCTGTTTTGATGTGGATCGTTCTTCTTCGGAGAGTGCGTCGCCAAGCCTCCCGGCTGTTTCCCCGGCTGTGTTTACGAGTAAAGACGAGGCACTGAAGATGGCTAAGAAGGTGAGGGGTGCTCGCTTCAAAGGCTTCAAGACCAAACTTGAAGCTGAACGTTTTGCTCGATCACATTTCCAAGAGCAAGAACAATCGCCAGCTCCCAAAGATCCAGCTAGTAACTTCAAAACTCCAACACCTCAAAAGCTGGTTACATTTCGTACGATAATTGAACGAGGCACGAAGGAAGAATTTCAAGAGGTAGTTTTAAAAAATCCCAGGTACCTGATAGGACCAGGTGACACTCCGGTGATCTTACAAGAAGGATCCCGTTACAATGCTCTTCACGTGGCCGTGAAAAGCAACAGAAAAGAGATGTGTCAGCTGATTGTCCAGACTCTAGAGAGTGATCACTTCTGGAATATTCTTTTAAATCAAGAAACTCAGTCTGCAATCAACAGCCAAAGAAAGCAATTTCTGGTGGACATGTATCTCAATACGCCAGACAAAGGGGTAAGTAACTTGTTAGGGAAACCTTATTACATAACAATTAAAAGCCTGGCCAAACAGACTTGCAAGTAGACCCAAGTTGAAAACTTGGGTCTACTTGCAACTCCATTCAGCCAGGCGTTGCGTGCATTTGCATTGACTTGCAACAACTTGCGCTCACGCGGGTCGAGATCAAATTTGCCTGCAAATTGACACCAGATTTTCTCTGTTTGGCCACCCAACCCAAGTCAGTACAAGTTGAGTGACATTCATTCATTCAAGTCGAGTGACATTCAAGTTGAGTGACATTCAAAATCTTTTCCAGGTTCACACTGTTCCTGGAAATCCTGGAAAATTCTTGGAATTCTAAAATTTGTATTTTGGTGTCCTGAAAAGTGCTTTGGATTCTCTTCTTTAATCCAACTGTTAAGAACGGTTCACAGTTAGCCTTTTTCAGATATATAAACTGCAAACTGAGCTACAAGAAATTAGGTATTGGTCATAAAAGTACTTTCAAAAACCTGTTATGAGTATCAAAAAATATCACATTAACAATTGGTTTAAAATGGACCCTTTTACTGATGTCATGCAATATCAACAATTTTTGTATTTTTCGTGTAAACAAAAATCCATCTCTGCATAGATCAATTTACGATGCTGATTGTTTTAAATATACAAAATTTCATAAGCATGACAATGTGTCGCAAACTCACAAAAATTTGCCAATTTTTACAAACTAAGAAATGTACCGGTATGTTTCGGGATGCACTTGTTTACCCCCTGGCTTGTACACTATGAATTATGAAACTTCTTGTATTTACTGAATTTGGCATGAAAAATCAAGTGGTGAGGGTGATTTTTCTTTGAATGTAAAAATCAGAAAAGCTTGAGGCCCAGTTCAGATGCCGAACTTTTCATGAGCCGAACCTAATACGTTAAATTAAGTACATGAAAAGTTTGGTGTCTGAATCAGTTAAGAACGACTATTTGAATTTGGAAGGGCTCAGCCGTTCTTCCCACCTAGCTCAGCCAGGAATTTCGGCTTTGGAAGGGCTTTGATTCAGATGTCGAACTTTTCACAGGCCGAACCTAATGCATACACCTTGCCTGGAAACTGCTGATGTTTCGATGTGTTTTGGTTCAAACTAAATTAAGTTTGGTGAATTAAGTTCGACGTCTGAATCAACAGACGCACTTTTGATAATTTGGGTCGGTCCAAATTCGAATTAGGTTCGGCTCATGAAAAGTTCGGCATCTGAACTGGGCTTGACATTGGTAAAAAGGTCCATTAATAGGTCTTGGAAGTTAGAAATATACAACCATGTATATCGGAGAAGTCCAACAAACAAGATCCTTTAGACCTTGGGTCCTTTTAAAATTTCTGCCATCATTGTCATCCATGTGATAACACTTTTATGTGCATGTTAACTGTCTGTTAATTGTAATATGTTTGGTTTATGTCCACAGACCTGGGAGACGCCGTTACATTTTGCATGCAAATATGGCAAAGCCGATATTGTTGAGTATCTTGTGTCTCATCCCTTAACTGACATCCAGCGACCAAACAAGTACGGAGAGACTCCTACAGAGGTTGGACACTACACCAGAGATAACTTTTAGTTGCTGGTTTTCACTGTCATGCCATCAAAAATTAAAACTGTAACCATTCAATATAAAAAGAAAGTCAAGAATCTAAGATATCATAGATCATTGATCTATAAACAATGTTGCTGAGATTTAGATCTGTGTGGTTTTTCATTTGCACATTATTCGGAGAAGTGTGCTTCTTGTGCAGCCATTTTAATGTTGTGCAGTGCAAAAGCTTGGAAATTTGAGTGTGCTGTAATACAAAACGAGGAACCCAGTCAAGTTAAAATGTTATAAAATGGAAAGTTCTTATAGGGTCTTATTTCTCATGAAACTAAAACCCCAGAAGGATAGGTAATTTTTAATTTTGGAATACAGCTACGTCACATGAAAACTGGCAAATTTGTTATGAAGAGTAAAAAATCAGTATCTAATTTCCCCTTTAGATTTACTGTTGGCTGGATCTAATAACTGTATGAACATGCCATGGAAAAGCATGATCTAATTGGGTATCAAATGTTGCAAAATTTCTGACTGTGACCTGTAACCTGCTTTTTCCATTTCAGGTGATCTGTTCCAGATGCTCCAGTGCAAGTTCTGAATTAAAGTCTCAAATAAAGAGCCTTCTTGAAGGTATAGAAATGACATTTACCAATTGCTGTTACGTGTTGGTGAATATTTATTTTACAGAACGTAAAAGAAAGCAGCACAAGTTGCTGAAAGTGTAGCCAATAGCAACTCTAGATTCTGGAGTGCTCTGCAAGGACATCATTAACTCAATATTATGCAGAGCTAAAAGCATGAATAAATTGTTTCATGACATGTATGAGAAAAAATGTCCCTGGCAAAGTGTCGTTAACTTGCTTATGCCATGAGCATGCATTATTGGATTTATAATATGGATAGGACCCTGCGTGCACTCTGATTGGTCGAAAACCCATGTTTTATCAGAGTATGAAACATAGAAAAAGCGTGTTTTGTTGTTTTTTGCCACATTACCTCTCTCATAAAGCAAATGAAGAAGCCTAAGCTGTGTATTATACTGTGATAAAACACTCCGGACATTTGAGAACACTCGAGAAATGTACAGAACACTTGCCTGTGGCTTGTGTTTTCTACATTTCTCTCGTGTTCTCAAATGCCTGTTGTGTTTTATCACAGTATAATACACAGCTTAGGCTTCTTTATTTGTTAAATAATGCATTTTTTTGTATGCCGAGTTTTATAGTATGGCTTTGCTGTGTGTTTAAATGGTATATGATAATGATTGCTGAATTCTCGTTTCATGTGTTAATTTGCAGACAGCTTCTATATCCCACTGCTTGGTACAGTGGATAACTCCACCCCACCCTGGATAGGAGGTCCATGGTCACCAGAGATTTCAGGAGACAGAATGACCACAGAAGGGGGATTTTCTGGAAGTGCGCTTAACACCTGGAAAGAAAGAAACAGTCCTGGGGAATTGCCAATTACTGTGCGTGCATATGCTGGGCCAATGTCTCCCTCAAAGGTACTGTAATATAGAACCTACACTCAGACCATCTTTGTAGTGTTAGTAATACCTTTCTTTTGAAGCCCAGTGGCCCACACATTTAGGCTTTAAACTTTGATTCCCATGACATAACAAAAAGGATTCTCACTCAGTGCAGATGACACCTGGCATTTATGTTAGGTATTTGTTCATAGCCATTTCATTANACGTCAATGACGTGTTCGTAAATGCCGACAAGCCGAGCATGACGTGAACTTTTCCGACCTATAAATTTTATGAATAAACCTCTACGGGCAGTGCTGTATTCTTGTTACATTAACATGGAATTCATTTAGAATGCAAGTTACCGAATTGACGAAGCACTGATATTCTAAGATTTATTAGCATTTTTTTCTCCATTTATTTATTTCATTTCATTTGTACGGGAGGCGATGTGGGGGGAGGGGGGGATTGTTGCTGGCTGGGACTAAAAAAGCCGTGATTCTAAAATGAGCGAGTGCGTACATGCGTGGGCATTGTCACATCCCGTTCTAGAAAGCTAGCTGGGACCAAGACAGCAGCATTTACGTAGTCACGTTGCTACAAGGCCTTCTTTGTTTTCGTCAAAGATGCTTCCTTTGCTACAAAGTTTATTAAAGATAAGGATATACCCGAAAAATTCCCGTCTAGTCTTCCAAAATACACTCCAAGAATACCGTTATTATTTTATAACTTACAACAGCATTCCAATCACACTCGACACACCATAACCTCTATTAAACCGCCGTTTTAAATTTGAAAACTGAGGTGAACAAATTTAGTTACTACTGCTGGGTTCAAGACCTTGGAACTTTTCGCTCCATCACATTCCAGGTTAGGTCTTTTTGCTGTTTAGAGGGGTTCGGAAACATGCTCCCTCATGGCCAGAAAATGTTTTGAATTTATCTCCCTAAAGTCCCCTTTCCTGGGCTGCTGAGTCATTCTGAAAGATCTGACCGATTTCCGTAAAGTGATGTAAACCGGCCTGAGACAGAGCCTGGTTTTGCATTGGTTAAGGCAAGGTTAAAGCTATTTGGTATTCGAGCAACCGGAGCTGGCAAGTGGTCTCAATTCAAAAAAGCTGTCCAGAGCCCGACCGCTTCCTTTTATTTCCCTGAGAAGGGGTAATATAATGAAAAAGCTTATAGCCACCTTAAACTTCCAGGAAACAAGCTATCACATAAACTACGAACACTCATACATAGCGACTTGCTTTGTATTTTATGTCTTTTGGGAGTTTGTTAATCTGACACTGTGCATGTAGTACCAGTTTTTGGTCTCATCATTAGATGAATGGCATTTTTATCGCATTTCACGATGCGGGATTTTCATTTACATCCTTACGACTTTTTAGGTACAAATTCTATCTAAATTGGATTCTAACGCTTTTCAATGTGCAACTTTCTCTCAAAGTACGGTACCTTCCCGAACTTTCAACATAGGCCAAATTGTAAGATCGGAGCCTTTTCAGAAAATGTATTTTTAATGCCGAATACTAGTCCAAGGCTTATTTTTGGAAATAATGTTGGCAACACGAGTGAACAACGAGACGAATTTCGTAGCAAGGTAGTTCCTGAACACTCCCCTGCACTCCCAAACACACCCTGGCCAGGTTCGTTGGGCACATGATCAGCTTACTTCTATCCCCCAGAACTACGGGGAGACTCCCTCGGCAATGAAAGCACGGGACTAGACTGTCACCTTTATATTTAGAAGATTGCTCACTAACTTAAGATTTCTCTGTGGCTGACTTGTAATAGTCTCCCACTCGAGTCCCTGACGCGCGCCGAACAATCGTTTGTTTGTCGGACAAATCACAAAGTCCAAAATACACAATTTGAGTCGGTGAGAGGGTTGGGGACTATCGTCTACGGTCGCAGAAGTCTGGGGATCAAATAATCAAGTAAAATGGCGGGTAAAAAGGCCGTGAAGGAGCTGTCGGACATGGAGTTAATGAACGAACTGAAGTCTTTAGGTATAAAAACTGGACCAGTTACTCCGAGTACAAGAAGGGTTGTTGAAAAGAAACTCTTGAAAGCCCGTGGTACTGACCTAATCGACAGCAATTATGAAAGTAAGGACTCGGGAAAAAGCGAAAATGTTTTCGTGGAAGAAAGTACAAAATCTACTAGAGAGAGTACAAGTAGCACTTCGAGTGTATTAGAAAGCCCTGCGATCTTCTATGGAGTCTGTTTTGATGTGGATCGTTCTTCTTCGGAGAGTGCGTCGCCAAGCCTCCCGGCTGTTTCCCCGGCTGTGTTTACGAGTAAAGACGAGGCACTGAAGATGGCTAAGAAGGTGAGGGGTGCTCGCTTCAAAGGCTTCAAGACCAAACTTGAAGCTGAACGTTTTGCTCGATCACATTTCCAAGAGCAAGAACAATCGCCAGCTCCCAAAGATCCAGCTAGTAACTTCAAAACTCCAACACCTCAAAAGCTGGTTACATTTCGTACGATAATTGAACGAGGCACGAAGGAAGAATTTCAAGAGGTAGTTTTAAAAAATCCCAGGTACCTGATAGGACCAGGTGACACTCCGGTGATCTTACAAGAAGGATCCCGTTACAATGCTCTTCACGTGGCCGTGAAAAGCAACAGAAAAGAGATGTGTCAGCTGATTGTCCAGACTCTAGAGAGTGATCACTTCTGGAATATTCTTTTAAATCAAGAAACTCAGTCTGCAATCAACAGCCAAAGAAAGCAATTTCTGGTGGACATGTATCTCAATACGCCAGACAAAGGGGTAAGTAACTTGTTAGGGAAACCTTATTACATAACAATTAAAAGCCTGGCCAAACAGACTTGCAAGTAGACCCAAGTTGAAAACTTGGGTCTACTTGCAACTCCATTCAGCCAGGCGTTGCGTGCATTTGCATTGACTTGCAACAACTTGCGCTCACGCGGGTCGAGATCAAATTTGCCTGCAAATTGACACCAGATTTTCTCTGTTTGGCCACCCAACCCAAGTCAGTACAAGTTGAGTGACATTCATTCATTCAAGTCGAGTGACATTCAAGTTGAGTGACATTCAAAATCTTTTCCAGGTTCACACTGTTCCTGGAAATCCTGGAAAATTCTTGGAATTCTAAAATTTGTATTTTGGTGTCCTGAAAAGTGCTTTGGATTCTCTTCTTTAATCCAACTGTTAAGAACGGTTCACAGTTAGCCTTTTTCAGATATATAAACTGCAAACTGAGCTACAAGAAATTAGGTATTGGTCATAAAAGTACTTTCAAAAACCTGTTATGAGTATCAAAAAATATCACATTAACAATTGGTTTAAAATGGACCCTTTTACTGATGTCATGCAATATCAACAATTTTTGTATTTTTCGTGTAAACAAAAATCCATCTCTGCATAGATCAATTTACGATGCTGATTGTTTTAAATATACAAAATTTCATAAGCATGACAATGTGTCGCAAACTCACAAAAATTTGCCAATTTTTACAAACTAAGAAATGTACCAGTATGTTTCGGGATGCACTTGTTTACCCCCTGGCTTGTACACTATGAATTATGAAACTTCTTGTATTTACTGAATTTGGCATGAAAAATCAAGTGGTGAGGGTGATTTTTCTTTGAATGTAAAAATCAGAAAAGCTTGAGGCCCAGTTCAGATGCCGAACTTTTCATGAGCCGAACCTAATACGTTAAATTAAGTACATGAAAAGTTTGGTGTCTGAATCAGTTAAGAACGACTATTTGAATTTGGAAGGGCTCAGCCGTTCTTCCCACCTAGCTCAGCCAGGAATTTCGGCTTTGGAAGGGCTTTGATTCAGATGTCGAACTTTTCACAGGCCGAACCTAATGCATACACCTTGCCTGGAAACTGCTGATGTTTCGATGTGTTTTGGTTCAAACTAAATTAAGTTTGGTGAATTAAGTTCGACGTCTGAATCAACAGACGCACTTTTGATAATTTGGGTCGGTCCAAATTCGAATTAGGTTCGGCTCATGAAAAGTTCGGCATCTGAACTGGGCTTGACATTGGTAAAAAGGTCCATTAATAGGTCTTGGAAGTTAGAAATATACAACCATGTATATCGGAGAAGTCCAACAAACAAGATCCTTTAGACCTTGGGTCCTTTTAAAATTTCTGCCATCATTGTCATCCATGTGATAACACTTTTATGTGCATGTTAACTGTCTGTTAATTGTAATATGTTTGGTTTATGTCCACAGACCTGGGAGACGCCGTTACATTTTGCATGCAAATATGGCAAAGCCGATATTGTTGAGTATCTTGTGTCTCATCCCTTAACTGACATCCAAAATCTAAGATATCATAGATCATTGATCTATAAACAATGTTGCTGAGATTTAGATCTGTGTGGTTTTTCATTTGCACATTATTCGGAGAAGTGTGCTTCTTGTGCAGCCATTTTAATGTTGTGCAGTGCAAAAGCTTGGAAATTTGAGTGTGCTGTAATACAAAACGAGGAACCCAGTCAAGTTAAAATGTTATAAAATGGAAAGTTCTTATAGGGTCTTATTTCTCATGAAACTAAAACCCCAGAAGGATAGGTAATTTTTAATTTTGGAATACAGCTACGTCACATGAAAACTGGCAAATTTGTTATGAAGAGTAAAAAATCAGTATCTAATTTCCCCTTTAGATTTACTGTTGGCTGGATCTAATAACTGTATGAACATGCCATGGAAAAGCATGATCTAATTGGGTATCAAATGTTGCAAAATTTCTGACTGTGACCTGTAACCTGCTTTTTCCATTTCAGGTGATCTGTTCCAGATGCTCCAGTGCAAGTTCTGAATTAAAGTCTCAAATAAAGAGCCTTCTTGAAGGTATAGAAATGACATTTACCAATTGCTGTTACGTGTTGGTGAATATTTATTTTACAGAACGTAAAAGAAAGCAGCACAAGTTGCTGAAAGTGTAGCCAATAGCAACTCTAGATTCTGGAGTGCTCTGCAAGGACATCATTAACTCAATATTATGCAGAGCTAAAAGCATGAATAAATTGTTTCATGACATGTATGAGAAAAAATGTCCCTGGCAAAGTGTCGTTAACTTGCTTATGCCATGAGCATGCATTATTGGATTTATAATATGGATAGGACCCTGCGTGCACTCTGATTGGTCGAAAACCCATGTTTTATCAGAGTATGAAACATAGAAAAAGCGTGTTTTGTTGTTTTTTGCCACATTACCTCTCTCATAAAGCAAATGAAGAAGCCTAAGCTGTGTATTATACTGTGATAAAACACTCCGGACATTTGAGAACACTCGAGAAATGTACAGAACACTTGCCTGTGGCTTGTGTTTTCTACATTTCTCTCGTGTTCTCAAATGCCTGTTGTGTTTTATCACAGTATAATACACAGCTTAGGCTTCTTTATTTGTTAAATAATGCATTTTTTTGTATGCCGAGTTTTATAGTATGGCTTTGCTGTGTGTTTAAATGGTATATGATAATGATTGCTGAATTCTCGTTTCATGTGTTAATTTGCAGACAGCTTCTATATCCCACTGCTTGGTACAGTGGATAACTCCACCCCACCCTGGATAGGAGGTCCATGGTCACCAGAGATTTCAGGAGACAGAATGACCACAGAAGGGGGATTTTCTGGAAGTGCGCTTAACACCTGGAAAGAAAGAAACAGTCCTGGGGAATTGCCAATTACTGTGCGTGCATATGCTGGGCCAATGTCTCCCTCAAAGGTACTGTAATATAGAACCTACACTCAGACCATCTTTGTAGTGTTAGTAATACCTTTCTTTTGAAGCCCAGTGGCCCACACATTTAGGCTTTAAACTTTGATTCCCATGACATAACAAAAAGGATTCTCACTCAGTGCAGATGACACCTGGCATTTATGTTAGGTATTTGTTCATAGCCATTTCATTAACTGGCAGAGAGAGCTACTGTGACAATAGAGTGTCAGTCAGAATGAAAGGCTCAAGCCATAAATAATTATACTGAACGGTACAGAGCCATTAGAAGTTTTGTCACTTTGCCCTGGTGTCATACTTGTAGTTTCCTTAGTTAAGAGTGTTTTCAAAATTTCTCTTTTTATCAATACATTCCCAAAAAGATGACTGATAAGAATAAGAAAATAATCAACTGTAGGTGATATGGTCTTGATATAAAACTAATTTCCAAATAAAAGTAAAATTAAAGTATAGATTTTATGAAACGAATGTCTTTTTTAAGTAGAATTTTAAAGCTTCCTTACTTTCATAAGAGGTTAAAAGAAGTCCATTACTGACTCTGGAACAACCATTTTAGGCTGAGGAATTCTATCATGCCTGGAAATATCCATCAAATCGAGAAGAGCGCAAAAGTTATATTCAGATAAAGAGAAAAGATGATAGCCGTGGTGTGGAGAGAATTGGAAGGTAAAAAGTGTTGGGAAGATTATTTTTGGATTTTTCTAAATGTAAATTGTATTGTGTGGAGGTTCAAAGACAAAGCACAAATGTTAATATAAATAAATGAATAGCCTCCATTTGGCTCGAAAATGTGCTTGAATATTTGTCTGGGGACATTATCTGTTCCAAGAAGTCAACAGTTTTCTGAGAGCGTAGCTTGAGGAAAACTGTGAGCTTTGAGGAACAGATTATGTCCAAGGCCAAATATCTGAGCATATTTTCGTGTCAAGTGAAGTCTATTGTGTTTATTATTCTTCAAGTATTTTTCAGTCACATGACGTGTTTAGGCAAATTGCATGCAAGCGAAAATATTTGATGGATTATGATTTTTGATATCTTATAGAGACCTTGCTCACACTGGTAGAGTTGCCTGGACGGAGTACTGGCATTTCCTTGGCTGTTATGCTGACCTATCAAGCTCTCAGGGACTGGAGAAGCTAGAAGATTATCTGGCAAAGAAGAAAGAAAAGGTTATTTTAAGCAGATTATCAGTGACACCTCATAGAGTTAGAGCTTTTAAAAGTGTCAGCAGTGTTCTTAAAACTCCTGAATCAAGGACAAGCACCATTATTTTGAATGATAATGGTTTGCGGGATCAGACAGTAGACAAGAGTGATTCTGACCATTTCAATAAACATGATTTCAGTGGCAGTTCATTGTTGTCATCCAGGAAAGTTTTGTTTTCAGATTCAGAGTTGAAGTTTGAAAATTCAAATGTTGAGTTGAAAGACTCGGCACATGAAAGCAAACTACAACACTTGGAGCAACAGCATGTTGTGGAAAAGTTCAGAGCTGGAGATGATAGTTTTAATGCATCCCTAGGTGAAACTGCAAACAGCGAAACAATCGAACCTGTTGTGGAGGCACTAACACAAACCTTAGATACACTTTCTGTTCATCAAGAACAAGATGTAACTGAAGCTATACTTGATGTTTCGTTAGCTGATGCTGCAGACAAGAAGGATGTGTTAAAGGATAGCTTTTCTTCTGAGGTGGTTGATGAGAGAGATGAAATGGACAGTGTAAGGGCTTTCCCAAGCAAGAAAAAACTTTTATACAACTTATCAGAAGCTAGCAGTGACCTTTTTGAAAGTAGTGACAGTGATTCGTCTAATGACACTTCGACTGAAACATATGAGGAAATCAAGGTCAAGTTAGCTGAAGATAAAATTGACATCAACGATGACAAGAGTTCTTCTGTCTCTCAAAGCATGGCAGAGAAAATGCCATCACCGATGCAAAGCCAACCCCTTTGTGAATTAAAGAAAAATCTTCTAGAAGATGAGGTGTTTGAGAATGCTTTGGAATCTGATCTAATGTCAAGAAAGGGTGACAGTGTTGTACCATGTGATATTGCACACCAGAACATTAAAATACCAAAAAACAGAGTTGTGGAGCATGTGATGTCTGGAAGTTGTTGCAATACCCTTGGATCAGGAAGCAAAGATATCAGTGTTTTCATCCATGGGTGAGTTAATGAACTAAACAAATAAGACCCACCCCTCTGAAAAAGGACTGTGCCACTGGAAGAAGACATTTTAGAATATAGTTGCTACTTGGGGCTGAGCCTGTATTAATTTTTTATAGATGCACGGCTGGAAATTATCCCAGTTGGGACTCTCATACAAAAAGGAGGAGGGTGCTTCTTGGAAATTTTGAAAAGAACCCTTAAGAGGTGCCAAGATCCTGCTTTGTGGGCGTGGCTTGAACATTTTTACATCCCTAAGAGGTAGCAATTTTAAAACAACACATTATCTCCTTTCAGTTTTTTTTGCTCAATACCCGGTACCGCAATAGCTCCTGCTGTGGACCTCTTGAGGCTGAACACCCGAAGAGGTTCCAAAACCACTTTTTTAACCCCTAAAAGGTACGACGAATACCCCCGCCCTTTTTATATGGGAGTGCCCTCCTCCCTGGGGAAATTATAGAGTATCTATGTCCTGGATGTTGTGTTGTCAACGCACAACATTCCAGATGCAAAATTTTAGATTTCTCATACTATATTCTAAACCAAATAGAAGATGGTGTTGCTGGGTTTTCTAAGAAAATAATGTAGTATTGAGGTCTAGAAAAACTGCTGAATGTACTCACATTCCACGTGTGCAACCATCAGCAGTTTTTCTAGACCTGAAGCATGAATAAAACACCATCTTCTTGATAAATGATGCACACTTATGGATACAGAGTTTGGTAATGCAGCTTTGCTAGGCATGTTAGAATGTAATTTATTTGTGGAAGTAACATTTTTAATAGCTTGTAATTTATTGTTTAGCTTGCAGCCCAGCAAACTTGACCTTGATGTGTTCATAGCCATTGCCCAGGTGGATCTTGATGCTAGGAAATATCCAAACATTGCTCAGTGGAAGAAACTGGTTATGTCTTATTCTGAAGCAACACAACAAAGGTTACATTTCATTTATTTTAAGTTTAAACTTATTCATTTATTTTTGTTACTCTTCTCTGTCTCTCTCTGTTTCTGCTGTCCCTGCATGCCTCAGCCTCTCCTCTCTGACTCCCTCACTCCCTCCCTCTCTGGCTTCCTCACTCCTGCTCTCCCTGCCTTACCTCCCTCCCTCCCTATCTCTTTCCTTCACTCCCTCCCTGCATCTCACTCTCTCCCACACTGCCTCCCCTCCCTGACTCGTTCCTTCATTCCCTCCCCTCTCCCCATTCTCTCCATCACTCCTTCTCTCCCTGGCTCCCTCACTCCTTCCTGAACTGTGTCCCCTCCATACCTCCCTAACATTCTACCTCCCTCCCTCTCTGGCCCTACCCTTCCTCCCAGGACCAAATAAAAATAGTCTTCAGAGCCATATGTAGCTTTTGGTATTGCCAGACCCTACTTGTAGTGTCTTTCTCTTCCAGCTGGCCCAGCCCTGGCTCTCCAAGGTACCAAACAAGACACAAGTCTTTGATGTGGAGCTGCTGAGCTAAATTAGTCTCAATTTATGAGGATCAATAACTCCCAATAAATTTTATCTGTGTTAGAATATATGATATCTACCGTAACTAATGATGTTTAGTTGGAATTAGTCTTATAAAACCTTGTAAATTCAGGGACAAAAATTATTGCTCAATGATGTTATTGTTTCTTTTTTTAAAATTGTGTTTAGTTATGCAACAGATGTAATATTTATTCCAAAAAAATATAATTAATTATGCTCGGCATCGGTGGTAGTAGCAGAGGTCATTCCTAGTTCCTTTTGGGTTTCAGAGAACAAAGATTGATGAAGGGCAAGAATGATGGTGTGGAATGTTAAGTGATAAAAAAGTAACTGAAAAAAATCCCTGGTGTGTCAGGTGTACACTGCACAAAATTGTAACAACACCACTCAGTTTAGGTTTCCATGTCTGTAGAAGGACATAGTATAGATTACCTCCAAACTGACTAGGGCACAGGGAGCCCAAACTCGCCACACGAAATTGAGGAAATCAAAGATATATGTAAGCGATACGAGTGGATCTTGTTTCTGAAGGTATTTGATGTTTATTGCGAACAGCAGGCAAAATGCCTTTTGTTCAATTTGATTTTTTGCAAATAACGAATGTCCAGAAATGTTTACCCAAACTGTTTTTGAGACAAACGTACGGAAAACTGAAAACCATGCTTGCGGCTTTCTTTTACATGGTGTCTTAAGTTTTTAATTCACAGACATTTCAGAAGTCAAATTTAACGTAAATTGTTAGACATAAGATTCCCTACTTTCTCCATAGATTTACTATAATTTCTGCCCTGTTTGTCCCCAACCAAGATGGTTCAGGCCATGATAGCGCAAAAACCGGCAGAAAGGTCTATTCCCAGGGAGGGGGAACTCCCATATAAAGAGAACAGGGCCTTCCCGGTACCTTTTAGGGCATTGAGCTGAAAAAAGTAACGTTTTAGAATTTGTACCTCTCAATTAGCTTAATAGGGGTGAAAAACATATTCAAGCCATGCCCACAAAACAGTATCTTGGTAGCTCTTAGGGGTTCTTTTCAAAATTTCCGACGAGCACCACGGTTCTTTTTATATGGGAGCTCTTACCCCAGGGACCTATCGTTTCATCGTGCTCATTCCATGAACACCATACAAGAATTTTCTTTAGTTTATCAGCTGAACAGGAGAAACGTCTCTGATGAAAAATGACCATGGTCCTTTGTAAACCCACTGTTAAATTCTCTGTTTGTATTCTAGTTTATTGATATTTTGGAAAAAAAAAATAAAAAAGGGAGGGCTACCCACTCCCCGAGCCGTCCTATACCGAACTTTTATACGAATAGAACCGTCACTTAATCAGGCCAAAACGTAGCTACATGTTCTGACTTGTTCTTTTTTCGCGTTTTAAGCACATCGTGTGTTTACGACCTGTTCGCACCCTTCATATGGCAACGTCTACTGTCAAACTGTGTTAGTACTATGTACAAATCAAGTGTCGAAAATATTCCATCTTCTTACAAATCGGAAAATAATGCACTCGCGGCACGGTTGCCGAGATATACATCAAGTTTCTTGCCTTGATTTAAATACAGTTCGTAAAATCTATGTTGGCTGCAATGGTTGTGAACAATGTGAAGGATTTTACAGGGATTTTTAATTCGATAATTCCCACAGTCCTCGAGAGCCGTCATAAATAGCGAGCGTTTTGTGGCGAGATGAACTATTCCCTTCGTTGACTTCTCAACTTGTGTCGAACACAGCCTAAGAACAAGCTTAGGGTTAGCAAGTGGAGGCAAAGAACTTGCAGAGACGTCTCGGTTTATAAAACGTCGGCGCGAGATTAATGCCACCCACTTTCATTGTAAACATCTATTCATGATGACATGTCGCATAGTGTATTGACCAAACTCCGCAACGGTCAGACAATTTAGGGGGATAAAAAAGTAGGAATATTTTTAAAATCTCGCATCAGATTTTAATGTATAAACAATAGCCTCCATTTGGTGCGAAAGTATGCTCGGATATTTGTCGCGGACATTATCTGTTCCGAGAAGCGAACAGTTTTCAGAGAGCTTAGCTCGAGGAAAACCGTGAGCTTCGAGGAACAGATGATGTCCAAGGACAAACATCCGAGCATATTTTCATGTCAAATGGAGGCTATTGTGTTTATTATCCTTGAAATGCTTTTCGAAACACTCGCGGTTTTGAAAACTGGGAAATATCACTCGGATATTCCCCAGTTAAAGTTTTAGCAGGGCATATTCAATCACGTGACGCGTTTAGACCAACTAAGTCTCACACTTAGTAAAAAATCTTTTACAGCATAACCTGACACGTCAAAAAATTTGCCAATTCTAACTAATGCAAGGTAGCTCTCTAAATTTTCTTATTCTAAAAGTCGGGGAAAAGTACTGGAGACGACTCTGATCTTATTCTAAGTCATACTCCTTGGACTGGCACGGAGAAATGTTCGGAACGTCCTTAGAAATCTTCGGACGCCCTTCGGACGTTTTCGTGTATGGTCAGGTCGTCTTCAAAAATCCTGGCTAATTTCCTTATGATTTCTTGATTTCGAAATCAGACAACGCTCAGGCTGCGACGGCCTCCACCCCCCCCCCCCTTCTCTCAGGGGTAAGGTCGTTAAGAGCACAAGGTCTAAGCCAATCTCGTTCCAGGGTCTTCGTTCCAGGGTGTTCGCTCCTTCGTTCCTTCGTTTCCTTGACCAGCGGTCGGAAAACGAGAGCTCTGGGAGCAACCATTTTGAAATAACCGAATTCTGCCCATCCGGTTTCACTGTGCAGTCTGCATCTATGGCCTGAAATGGATGCATCCAGAGCTCTCGTTTCCTACCGCTGGTCAAGGGGAACGAAGACTCTGGGAACGAGAGTCTAAGCCGGAAGACGGGCAAAATTTGCAGCAGATCAGCATCTTATATATATCTAAACTGCATATGGGTGGAAAAACCACCCAGACAACAAAACTGCCAAGTCTTACTTTGTCGAATACATGTAACTGGTATTTATTTCTGTTTTGAACGGTTGACTTAGTCACTATATATATATATATATCAAACATAATGCAAAATTACATCACAAACCAGAAAAGCGTGGCATATGAAATTTTCCTCGTCTTCGATTCGTGATGTTAAGATGGCGATCAATTCGTTGGCCTTGAATACTTCGCTCTTTCCTGTTTCTTACTCCGCTGCAGTGATAGTGTACAATATGAAGGATTTTACACGGGTTCTTTATTTCAAAACGTCCATACTTTTGAAAGTTAAATATCAACACTCTTTCAATACCTACAATGTTCGGTCGGTAGTCAATGCTATCTAATAGTTGAGAGGGAAGTGGCACGAGAAGCCTGAACAGAAATGCATCGTGGGAGCCAATGTATGTTGCCGTCGGTCCACAAAAATCCCTCGCGTTGCAGAGACGCACGTTTTCGGAAGTTTCATGCCTGGTCAATGCGTACATTGTTTTCCTGTTCAAAATACTTTCGTCCAGTCGTTCAAACCCTTTATCCACATAACAGTCTGCGTTCATTATCATTACATTTCTACGTAACAAGTGGTTCGAGGCGTACTGGAAGGCGTCCTTGTAACGCATGCGCCGACCAAGAGAATGAAAATGTAATTTCCAGTCCTCAGGCAAATTCTGGGCGTTGATGACGTCAGGATCCTTGTTGCTTTCATAGAAGATATGGATTTTTTCAACCTGGAAAAAAATCAACCAAATTTAGGGTACATAAGTCACGTGCAGATGGTCTTTGTTTAGCCATAGTTGCGCAACCTATTTACACCAACAATTTGGAATGCCTGCTGAACAATATCACGTGTTTGCGGACGTGACTTGACGATTCCATGGCAACGATGTCTTAACAGGTTGCTCCAGCAGGTTTTGGTTTAATTTTTCGGTGTTAATAATTTCACATATTTAGTGTCATATTTTTTAACTTTAACAATTCTTTCAACATCTTAAAATCCGTGATAGCGGAAAGCGCTTGAAATTGATGACATCATGTCAGTCTCATATGACATCATATTTGAAATCACTCATTCACTCACCATTACTGCAAAAGTATGTATTAAAATAAACAATTTGGGATGCTTAACAAATCATTCAAATTTTACTAACACGTAATAAATACGTTTGGAGTCGTAAGGACCTGTGGGGCCACGTTTCTGGCCCTTCCTTGAGCTCCACTGCAAAAAGGCTCTTTGTTATGTTCAAATGTATGTGGCCTGTACTCACGTGCGCACTCATTAGATTCCGTTGCAGGCAGTAGATATACTCCGTTTGCCGCTTTGTCTCGTCATTATCTGAGCTACCGGAAGTGTTTAACACCGGAAACTGAATGATAAGATGCAGTCGAGCACTTCCTGTTGGGACTTGCATGTTTGACTTTTTTGGAGCGTGTGTATTGGGCAGCTGTTGTGTGATGGTCTCAAAAGTTGTGCTGTTTATGGGTGTACCTGAAATAAGTTAAATTATTTTGATACTTGATAAGGTTCGCTTGTCCGCGGGCGTAATAAATTTATTATACCTGTTCATCAAGGAGGCTGGCAACAGTCTCCAGGACTTTTCTAATAGTTACACTTGTACTTTGCAGGATGAATACTACCAGTGTTAATCAAGTTGTGCTACAATAATGGCATCACAAATATGCCCCAATGGTAAAAAAATTATGTGGAGAGGGTTCAGAGCCACCTTAATTTTTGTAAAAAGCTTGCATCTTATCATGCTTATCATAATTCGATCATAAAAACTAAGGGTGACCGAGTTTGATTTTGAGTTATAAGCGCTTAAAGTTAAAATTAAGGGTGTTTTTAACAGGTTGTATTGTTGATATGGTTACGTGTCAGTATAAAAAGGATGACCACAACTTGTTAACCAATGATTGATCATTTATGTGATACCTTTATTGTAGTATCACTTGTTAAACAGTGGTAGTATTCATCCTTCAAAGTATGGCTGTTGGAAAAGTGCTGGAAACTGTCGCCACAGTCCTTAAATAAGTTAAAACACAGAGAAACATCATCCTGTACAAAGCAAGCTTCCCCGGGCTTTTGTAAATTCACGAACGAAAGGGAAGCTAAAATTCTGAATCTTCTTCCCAGTATGTCTTATCAGTCCACAACCCGTGACATCCTAATTAGGGAAACAAAGTGGACTGGGTAAATATTGAAGCAATCTTACCTTCAAGTATTCGCGTCGAAATATTTTGTTCGTGCAGTGAAAAATTTTGCTTTGAGATTGAATGCCTCAACCAGTCGAATAGCAACAGAAATAATAAAATCCCTAGCAGAAGTGAAACACGAGATCTGGTCAACCGCCAACATCCTGATGGTCTGCACTGGAAAAGAACGATGAAAATCACACAGCCCAAATAAACAACCACGTGACTGGCTATAATCACTCAACTGATAGGCTATCGAGGTGAAGTACTGAGCGTGTGATTATACAACTGAACTGAGAAAATTACTTCATTGTGATTGACGCGCGCTTTCGTGATTTTCTCAGTCATATAATAAATGAGTAATCGTATGCAGGCTCGAGCAATTAAGGATTTACAGTACTCGTGATAATTGAAAATTCTCTCAAGATGCATTTGCCGGTGTCCAAATGCGCGTGCAATTTTTAGAGAATTTTGAAATATCACTCGTAGTGAAAATCCTTAAGAGTCCCTGTCCATAAAAATGGAAAATAACTCGGCNCTGAGCTATCGTTAAATTTCTTAAATTAATGATTTGAATATTAATTTTTTATCTATTTATTATTTTAATTAATTTTTTCAAGGAAATTACACAGCGCTGCTGGATGTTCAGAAGCATGTGTCATATAAAATTATTATTTTTATCGTCATTATTATCATCATTATCATCGTCATCATCATCATTATTATTACTATTATTATTATTATTATTATTATTACTCTCGATTCAGCATCCAGACAAAGAGAGTGTTATCTCAACCTCGTTTCCAGGACTTTTCCCTTTGAAATTTGGAAAAGCCCTGGGAACGAGGGCTGTGTGAGTGTGTTACGAAAAGGGAAAGCCAAGTTGATTACTGGTTTTTACTGATGGTGTCACGCTATCAAAAAATACATAAAAAGCCTCGTAAATATTTATGTCTGTGTGCTTTTTTATACGCGTTATTCAGACGCGTTTCACACGGGTATGTGGACGCCATCTCATTGTCATCGAGTTTTGCTATGAAAACGACAAATTATTATTCTAGAACGCCGACAGATTGAAATACTTCGTCTAATGTAAGGACTGTTTTAAAAGACCTACACGACAGCTTTTTCGGGCTAGCATTTTAATGTCGTGTAGCCTGCGTAGCTGGTGGGATTTGAGCGCGAGTGCTTTTGTTTTGGCGTCGAAGCCGAGAACGCGAGTAGCGGAGCCGCGAGAGGATTGGTAATAAGTCGAGTTGAATTTCACTCCCTCCAGCTACGCAGGCTAAACGTCACGGAACGAAAAAGCTTGGAAATTCAAACTTGGTCTGTTTATAAAACGAAGAACCCGGTCGGGCTATAGCCTCCCGCGCAGACACTGTTAGGACTCGTCAAGCGTTCCTTCCACACGTGGGGAAGGAACGGGTGACGAGTGTGACCAGGCTAGATAAGCTTGACGTCAAGTTCTTAGAGGGTCTTGCCTCTTATGAAACTAAAACCTCAGAAATATAGGTAGCTGTTTATGTTGGAATACGGCAGCATCACAGGAAGATCAGCAATATAAAATCAGATAAAATACGTACAGGGTGCTAGAAATTCCACACAGTCTTCGAGCTGCTTCGAGAACAGTATTGGCGATTGAGAAGTCTGTATAGATTGCGTTTAAAAAGAACTTTATAACCATCTAGTTTTGTGAGTTACAATGTAAAATGATGGAACACCAAGTTTAACTTACGTGTGGACTATTCAGGTTTCTTCTGAGGCAATAGATGTACTCCTTTTGTCTCAACACAACCGAGCTGTTTTCTGGTTTGTTTGTGACATTCAACACTGGAAACTGGACAATGAGGTGAAGTCGAGCTCCGGCTATGAAATTTGCAGAACTGTTTTGTGTAGTAGTCTTGTTTGATAACGAATGATTGTCTAACCTCCCTGAAATGTGACCGTTAAATGAGGAAAGAATAAGATAAAAAAATGAAAAGTATGTTTACTTTGTTTGAGCAGTCTTACCTTAACATTTCCGTTGTTTTATTGGACGTAGCGTGATGGCATGGTTAGGTGCCAGGGGACTCACTACAAGATTTGTTTCATTACGTTTCCGAGTTCAACTTTTCTAGGTTTAACTGACAGCTGAAAAATGAGTTTTTTCTCTGTCCTGAGCTCAGGTCTGTAAAATTTAGTGAAAGTTGAAGAATGGGCCTAATTTATAGTTGTGAAATCCGCGCTGAAATTTCACTGATTAAAGAAATTCTAGCGCTTCTTTTTTTTCTATACCCTTTTTTAGCGGTAGCATTTGTAAGTCCCATAAGAATGCTTTGTATTGTATTGAGTGTTTCCTCTTACTGTCACGTTTTCTGTTTGGCATCGTCTGAAATGCAACCAAAAGAACCAGACTTGCTGCCGCGACCATTAAACACAAACTTCGGAGTGGCTTGCACTGAAAAAAATGTAGAAAGAACGAATTTAAACAAATGAGCACTTATTTAGAGGCGAAAGAATTTCTGTTACTACTTAAAAGTCACACCTTTGTTTTTGTTTGCTTGTGAGGGTTTGGCTAGTATACTTTACTCGGAGCATGTCGAAACGAACGAAACCTGTGAAACTACTAAAGATAATTAAACATATTTTCAGGTACACAACTTACAGCAAAATAATAGGATTTCGATTTACCATGCAATATCAATCATTTCGATGGCATCAAAGATGGTGGAGGCTGACTAGGGACCTTTAAAGAAGTCATTAATGTCACGGGTCAATTTCATGAGGTGGAGGAGAAGAAGCAGGAGGACTGGGGAGGAGGAGGGGTAGAGGAGGAGGAGCTGCTTAATCAACTCGGATTCGTGGTTCGCTTGCAACAAAGACACCCGTGAAGGAACTCCCATATAAAAAGGACGGAGGTGTTCGTCAAAAAGAGTGAGATGAACTGGGTTAAAAACGGCACTAGACAGGTAGACCAAAGTCATTTGTTATCATTGTACGGTACGGTGGAACCTCGAAATAACGAAAGGCCACGCTAGGGACTGGCAAAATATGTTCACCATAACAAGGCTTCGTTGTATCGAGGTTCTTTCCGTGCCTTAAAGCTGAAAAAAAAAAAAAAAAAAAAAAACGGTCAAATAATAGACTAGCCAGTTTGCAGTGCATGAAAACCTGCTCCCTGGCTATGTGGGGATTGGGACAGAGTAGGGGTGGGACAGAGCATGCTGTGATCACGTGTTGACACGAGTGGAACCCTAAGAGCTTTACCATACGGGTTTTTGGAAAAACAATTATTTATAATTAGACATTAACCCCAGCCTATTGCACACTAATTGTCGTGAGATGAAAAGACTAGTGTCAGTTAGAGTAGAAAGCCCAAAGTGGGACAGACCATGCTCTGATTACATATTGATGTAAGTGGAAAGCGAAAGAGTTTAAGCTTTCTAAAAAGCTGTGGTTAAATAAAAAAAAGGCAATCAACGTATCAGTGGAAAAAAAATATGGTAATATATTATCAAAAAAATAACCCTAGCCTATTGCATACTAATCGTCGTGAGATGACAGGACTAGCCCCAAGCCATTAACGGCGTTGATATGTAGAGAAGAAAGCCCATTAACCACAGTTTTTAAAAATATTTCTAACCCACGAAGTTCTCATTCAGTAAATATTCATTCGCATTTAATAATAAAGAGGACCGGGCCGAGAATATAAATCATTGAAACTCAGGTTTCAGCTAAGGCAAGATTTAATTGTCCTACATTCGTTTTATCTCTTACTATAAATTTTTGAATGGTTGTTGATTCTGGTCAAATCACTAGGCGATTTGTTTTTTGCTATGAAACGTCATGGAAAAAAATTTAATATTCTTAGGCTGTGTGCGACGCGAGTTGAGAAAAACAACAAGAGGGAACGTTACCGAACTCTAGCTTAACAAAATGCTTTTACTGCCAAAGAAGGTAAGACTGTTTCTTTTCCTTTGTTCAGATCAGTTTCAGTCACAGATCAAAGTACTGTAATTTAAACTGAGAACTCAAGGTTTCTGCAAGATCGGTTGAGGAGATTAGTGAATTTGTTTGAGCGATGGAACTTTCTTTCGAGAAAAAAACCAGGAGTGGAAAGCTAAGGTCGTCTTAATTACTGCAATGTTACTGTGCCCGAGAAATGTGTTTTTACCGCTGAAGGTTCAAGTTCCTTGTTTTTCGGTCCAAGTCTAATTCAATCTGAGAAGCGGTTGAAATCATTCGAATGATCACGGTTGGTGTGCGTTCCTTACTCAACAGTCCAATTTTAGGCATAGCTTTAAGCATATCTGGCAATATCCGGCGCAATGTCTGGCGTATTTATACAACAGAAATCCAAAACATAAAATACAAATCTCGTGGCCGTCGGAGAGTGTCTTTGTTGCAAGCGAACCACGAGTTGACGCTACTCCTCGTCTACTGCTCCTCCCCAGTCCTCTTGCTTCTTCTCCTCCACCAGTAAAATAAACTTGGCCGGTGACCTCTTTTAGTTTGCTGTAATAACAAAAGGTTCTTTCGCC